AATTTTGCAGATTTCAATAAGCAAGAGTTCAGTTTTTTTCTCGTCAGCTTATTAGGAAATGTGAAAGAAAATTATACATGTTTTAATCACGTTTCTGTTGGCGTTCAGAGAGAGAATCGAAGGCTTAAAATGAATACGGGATTATGCTGCCAATCTCTTTCATAATCTCATTTCCTAAAGGATATTAAGGGTCTTGATTTATAGAATCAGCCCGGAAGATTATTATATATCTCGATACGTGATAGATCTGGCAAAGAAATGGAATCGCGGTGTGTGTGTGTGTGTGTGTGTGTGTGTGTGCGTGTGTGTGCGTGTGCGTGCGTGTGTGTGTGCGTATCTGTATGTGTGTGTGTACACAGACATATGATAAGAGAGAGAGAGAGAGAGAGAGAGAGAGAGAGAGAGAGAGGAGGAGAGAGGGAGAGAGAAGCATATCTGGAAACAAAACCGATTATTCAAGACCTCCCCCCTCCCCCATCTCACTCCCTCCCCCCTCTGTGTTGAGTTGGCGTAGTGGTCGTTTGTCTAGCAATCTTGCAATCTTGCAATCTTGCGGACCTGCGTTCAATCCCACGCCCGGCCAGTGAATGGTAACCCTGGCCACTCCTTGCACACAGGGGGAGAATTGGGCAAAATAAAACAGACAGTATGTCACAGCAAAAGAACATCCACTGTCACAAAACGGAATTAAAACTAAATCGATCTCTATCAATCTCTCCCGACCAGACCATCGAAGACATGATGCACGTCGTGGAAATGGAGGACCCGAAGGACCCTCTCATGGGCGGGCTGCAGGATGTCATGAGGGACGTGAAGGAGACCCGACAGCAACAGGAACAGCCACAGGTCACGACGAGGCTGTCTGGCAGTGAGGGGGCCATGGCTGACGCCTTCGAGGAGAGGGTGAGGGTCCTCCTGGCTGCCAGCGGCGTCGAGACCGTGCTTCCCTTCGACTGCGGGAGGGTAAGCTCTTGTGCTCGAAGGTCGAAGGTCGAAGGTCGAAGTTTTGAGGTTTTGAGATTTGTGGGTTTCCGTTCGGTTATTGGTTGTTGTTGGTCCTTCCCTTTTAATGATTTTATTTTCAGCATTTTTGTATTTTTTTTCATTCTTTTGTGTGTTTTTATTTATTTTTTCATTTTTTTGTGTGTGGTTTTTATTTTTTTTCATTTTTGTTTTTATTTGTTTTTCATTTTTTTGTTTTTATTTTATTTTTTATTTTTATTTTTTTTTCATTTTTGTGTTGTTTTTATTTATTTCTCATTTTTGTGTTTTTTTATTTAGTTTTTAGGTTTTATTTTATTTTTAGTATTAGAATAAATGAGAGGTAATTATCTAATTATATTCCCAAGCTCGATTATATTCATTCATTTATCATCCGTTGCTCCTTCCCTTTTTTTTTTTTTTTTTTTTTTTTTTTTTTTTTTTTTTTTTTTTTTTTTTGAATAAGGAAGAGGCAAAATCTTGGTTCATATACCTCGAAGTGTCCCATGTACGAGATTTCTTGATTTTAATGAATTTATCATGATTTGTTCCTTCCTCTTCAATGTTAGAATAAAAAAAAATTATACCAGGCATACCGGAGCAGCATAACTAACTAACTAACTCCCCGCCCCTTTCCAGAATCCCCAGAACCCAGACGAGCCGTTGGAAGGCCCGCCCATGCCGTGGATCGCCGCCCTCGGATCGAGCGAAGACGGGCGGTTCCACTACCGGTGCACTGGGGCCGTTATAAGCCGCTTCCATATCCTCACGGACGCCGACTGTGTGGCCTCGCCCAACATGTAAGGGGGATACGTCACTTGTGTGATATAGGCCTATTGAAAGGTGAAGATACGTCACGCCTTCAATATAGGCCTATTGAAAGGTGAAGATACGTCACTTGTGTATATAGGGAAGGTATGGTAGGGGGATACGTCACTTGTGTAATATACTATGAAAGGTGAAGATACGTCACTTGTGTGTAAGGCCTGTCGGAAGGTGAAATGGTAGGGGATACGTCACTTGTGTAATATAGGCCTATGAAAGGGAACATGCGTCACGCGAAAATGGTAGGGGGCATTGCTTAATGTAGGCTTGTCGGAAGGTGGAAAATGGTAGGGGGATACGGTAATATAGGCTATTGAAAGGTGAAGATACGTCACTTGTGTGATATAGGCCTGTCTAAAGGTGGAAAATGTTAGGGATACGTCACTTGTGTAATATAGGCCTATTGAAAGGTGAAGATACGTCACTTGTGTAATATAGGCCTGTCGGAAGGTGGAAAATGCGTAGGGAGATGTCACTTGTGTAATATAGGCCTATTGAAAGGTGAAGATACGTCACTTGTGTAATATAGGCCTATTGAAAGGTGAAGATACGTCACTTGTGTGATATAGGCCTGTCTAAAGGTGGAAAATGGTAGGGGGATACGTCACTTGTGGAATATAGGCCTATTGAAAGGTGAAGATACGTCACTTGTGTGATATAGGCCTGTCGAAAGGTGGAAAATGGTAGGGGGATACGTCACTTGTGTAATATAGGCCTATTTGAAGGTGAATACGTCACTTGTGTGATATAGGCCTGTCGAGAGGTGGAAATGTAGGGGGATACACCGCTTGTGTAATATAGGCCTGTCGAGAGTGGAAAATGGTAGGGGGATACGTCACTTGTGTAATATAGGCCTATTGAAAGGTGAAGATACGTCACTTGTGTGATATAGGCCTGTCTAAAGGTGGAAAATGGTAGGGGGATACGTCACTTGTGTGATATAGGCCTATTGAAAGGTGAAGATACGTCACTTGTGTAATATAGGCCTGTCGAAAGGTGGAAAATGGTAGGGAGATACACCATTGCGTAATATAGGCCTGTCGGAAGGTGGAAAATGGTAGGGAGATACACCGCTTGCGCAATATAGGCCTGTCTACAGGTGAAAAATGTTATTCTTTAACCCTTCCAAAATATGAATCCAAAACACGGCTAATAACAAAGCAAACCTCAATTACATTCAACCTTTAATAGCTAGAAAACAACCCATCTCTCTGCTTTCGGGAAAATGTGAAGGCAAATAACAAAAGCAAAATTCCAATACGTTTTCCCCTCAGAAGCCAGAAATCCCTCAACCACCCCCTGTTTACTGGAAAATAAGAAGGCATAAAAATAAGAATTAACGCAAAATTCCCCTCGGAGGTCAGAACTCCCTCCCCACCCCTCTGCTTATAGGAAAATGTTGAGACAAATAACAAATAATTCAACACAAGCACAAACACAATCACGTGAACACAAAAAATGAAAATGAAACTAGCCACAAAGAGAATTGAGAATAAGCGTGACGTTTCGAACTCTTCTCGAGTTCCTCATCAGACAAAAAAACCGAAATTCAAATACGTTTCCCCCCCTCAGAGGCCAGTAATCCCACACATTTCCCTTATTGGAAAACGTGGAAGGAAATAACGAAGCTTAACTCATCCATTTCCTTTCCAGAAACCTCGTGCAGTTCAACGTGAGTCGCCGTGTACCGGACCCCAACGCCATCCAGAACTACGTGGTCGGGCGTAGGATTCATCCCATGGTGAAAGGAAAGGAGGACCTGCTCAGCGGTTATAACGTGGGGCTCCTCGAACTGGCCTTTCCTGTGGAGTTTAACGGTAGGGAATGCTTGGTTGATCCTGCGTGGAAAGTTATGAGCCCCTTTTTGTATGTGAGTTCGTCTTTGCATGTGATTTGACCAGGTACTGTTGCCTATCTGTGGGAAAAGATGAGGTAGATTATATATGAGGAGGAACTCATTGAGGGGGTGAACATTTGCCTCCCCCCCCCCCCCCCCTAAGGTCTGGTGTGCCCCTCAAGCTCCAATAAGATAGCATTTTGTTCTTAGCCCCTTGATTTTTCCCCGGAAATGACACCAATATAATTCAGCGTATAGCTTTAAAATGCCCCAAGAATAGTTCATGTCTCAAAAAAACTGCGACAAATATAACGAACCGTAAAATATACGTTATGTTCGGGTTTTAAAATTTCCAGTCTGATTAGCTTCTGGAGGTAGATAAGTAGCTTGCATATTTTGAGGTAGACGAAGAGTAGATTTATGAATGTTATGAGTAGATATTTTGGGTAGATTATGAACATATTTCAGGGTAGGTAATATGTGTTTTCGTTTGTTTGTTTGTTTGTTTTATATAAAACTAGGAATTTACTAGATTCTAGGGGTTTATTAGGACTGGTGAAGGTAATAAATTCAGGAAGATTTATGAGGTATAATAATTGAGTAGAGAAATGAGAGAAGATGAAGTTAATGGGCAAGTTTTTTTTTAAGTATATTATTATTTTTATACAATGATTATTATTGTAGCCGCTATTATTGTGTTGTTATTGTTGTTGTTATTATTATTGTTGTTATTATTATTATTGTTGTTATTGTTATTATTAGTTTTTGTTAATCAATATTATTATCATTATCATCATTGCCTGGTTACTGTTCTTTTTGCTTAGTTGTCTTTCAAAAAATATAATTGATATTAGGAGACTCGTATCAACTTATATAAGTTTGTCCTAAAAAGACACAAACTGAATTGATTTAAACATCTGGCTGGAATTAAAGTTTTAATTATCTGTTCTATATCTATGTGTCTGTCTATCTATTTGTTTATTAATTAATGTCTTTATTTATAGAACATACCCAACCGGTTTGCCTTAAGCTGTCTACTTATCTATCTATCTATCTATCTATATATATATATATATATATTATATATATATTATATATATATATATATATATATATTTGTTCTGTAGAGTACAACCTCTTTCATTCCGTAAGGTTATAAAGATCACCAAAAATTATCTCGTCTATCTATCTATTTATCAGTCGATCTCCTGATCTATCTGCCTATGTATGCAGTTATCTATTTTTGTATTTATTAATTAATTTATTTCACAGAATACATCCAACCGGTTTGACTATCTGTCTATCTATTACTATTTCTTTCTACCTAACTTATCTCCTGATCTATCCTATCTACCTATCTATTTATCTATTTGTGTATTTATTCATTTATTTCACAGAATACATGATCCAATTTGCTATTTGAACTATCCTCTATGATCTATGTGTATTACTATTATTTATCTATTTTCTTTTTATTTCCTACATCTAATCCCTTGGTCTGGGGAATCACCTGCTTGTGCTAAAGTATTTTACAGGATCATCCAACCATCCAACGGTATTTTCCCGGATTTCGGCGAGAGACAAGAACCCAGCACCATAGTCGGCTTTAATGATATAAGTGACAGTGAGTATAAAGTTTCGGTTTTCTTGTTTATAGTTTTAGGTGATAGTGCCGCATAGTTTCAAGTTTTAGAATGATAATAATGCAGCTGTGCTATACAGGGGCGCACATTAGAGTCCTTGGTAGACCCCCGCTCAGTTTATTTTTTTTTAAATACAGTTGGAAAGAGTCTTCATGGACGCCGATTTTTTTGATTAACAAATCTACATTTGAATACGAAAATTTGAAATGTTTCGGTAAAAGAGGAAGCCTAAATCTAAGTGAAAAAAAATGGAGTTTTAAAAAGTCGCTTGTGATGCAATGTTGCTGTACGCTGCAATCCCTTCCCTTTATTAAGATTTAAAGGTTCGACGCCGCGTGGAGTTCAAGTTCAAATGAAAAAGTTTGTACTGCTGAGTACTAGCTCTTTCGTTCCCTAACGGTTTTGAACATCACGAAAATGTTATGCAATTAGTTGGTCCAAAACATGGCTGTCTCTTCGTAGTCGGTTATAAAATACTCCTCACCCCATCCCCCCCCCCTTCCCAAAGAGAATTTGAACGTGCCGCCCTGGTCTGTTAATATTGATTGATGTATTTGCATTATTTTCTTCAATTGTTCATATGACTCAATGTGAATTTGACTACTATTGCCTTGTCATCGTCCTGTTTATTAGTTAACAATGCTTTTAAGAAAGTGTTTCCTTTTCACTATATCCATTTTTTCTATCTCTCTCCCTTCCTTAAGATTTCTCTCTCTTCTCTTCTCTCTCTCTCTCTCTCTCTCTCTTCTCTCTCTCTCTCTCTCTCTCTCATCTCTCTCTCTCTCTCTCTCTCTCTCTCTCTCTCTCTCTCTCTCTCTCTCTCTCTTCTCCTCTTACCTCCAATTCCCCTCTCTTTCCCTCCTCCTTACCTTACCCTCTCCCCCATCCCTCCCTTTCCATCTTTCCCTACCCCTCCCTCCATTCTTCCCTACTTCTTCACCTTCCCTCCATTCCCCTTTACCCACTCTCCGTCAACGTAAACCCCACGCAACTCACCATGTCTCTTCGTCAAGCACATTCATTGCTTTGTTTCATTATTACATACTAACCTCGTCTCTTTCCCTCACAGCTTCTCTGGGACGAATAGCGACCTTCAACGTTCAGAGAAATTCCTCTACTTTCGGGCCCGCTGGCTGTCAGAGCCTGATCAAAGCTTACAACGCGAGATTCCCTAACCAGATATCCAATTTGTTTTCGGTTATTACAGAGAATCATGTCTGCGTGAACAAGTTGTATGAAGAGTTTGTATTTTATTTTATATATATATATTTTTTTCTTTCTTTCTTTCTTTTTTTTTTTTTTTTTTTTCTTTTCTTTTTTTTATCTATTTATTAGGTTTTTTTTGGAGGGGGAGGGGTGTGCGAATGTAAATTACAGTTCGTGTGTGTGTGTGTGTGTGTGTGTGTGTGTGTGTGTTGTGTGTGTGTGTGTGTGTGTGTGTGTGTGTGTGTCCATACACCGATTATATCCATTTCTGAATCTGAACATCTTACCGTATTCTTACAACCAACAAGTCTCTCAAGTGTCGCCAAACATCACCACCACTAAAAGAGACGACCCACCATCTTCAAAAACCAAATCGTACTTTTACAGGTCGGGAAATCGGTGGTGCTGCGAGAGAGTGCAACCACAGGGAGAGTGCAGTTGGTGGGAGTTGGGCGTAGCCAATGCTCGCCTCCCCATCCCTATTGCCTACACTCAAGTCCAGCCTCATCGCTTTTGGATCGAACTTGTCTTAAAGAAGTTTAGGGATAACACATCAAGACGTACAGTAGGGTGAAGATTCCCTCGATGTCACGAGGTATCTTCATGAATGGATCTCAAGAGATTAAACCATTACTATATTTTTTCATCACTGTGGCCATAGGCACTAAGTGGAGATGTCATGAAGAGAACACAGCAACCAGAGACTAACCACTTTTAACAGCCACTACATACATCACTAGGTTTTTCTTAGCATAGATCAGGTTTCTCTGTTCTACCTCAGTTCTCTAAGAGAGTAACGAAATCACCGTCCAAAGTCATATCCTTAAATCATATCAATAAATGGACAATACTGTGAATGAAGCTGGCATTAACCTTATTGTAGTACTGTCCAATTTAGTTTTAATCACTCAAAAAGCTGACATGATTACAGTAACAATGTCATTGCATTATGTACAGAAGGCGGCATTATTACGTCATAGTATTTCATGAAAACATGTACGGTATCTCATTTTGTATTTTAAATTAAAATATATTTGTAATTTGATTGATAATTAAGAATGATGTGTGTGTTTGAGTCTGATATAAATACATTGTATGAAATGACTCTGTGTATTTCTTGTCATCAATGTGCCATGTTACATCTCTGCGAGGAAATAAATGCAAACCCTCATTATGGTTTCCAGCGTAATTTTGATTTCTCAAAATTGAGCATCACTTCGGTATCTAAATTAGTTGCTACATTTCATTTTCTTTAAAAAATATATATATATATAATAATTTTGAAATTTCACTGAGTAAATAACTACAACAAACTTCCATTTACTTAAAGAAAGACTTAGTGATTAAAGCAATCTTATGCAAAAAACTGACATGAATGTTGAATAAGTGACAGAATTTTTAAATAAAAATACAGTTACCATGCTAGTTCTATTCCACTGATTCCATTTCAGCATATAGTCTACCTCGGAATACTATGTAGAATATTTATAACACCAGAAATTCCTGCCACTGTTTAATGGTCAATGGTTAAATGTGCTAGACACCACAGGCATATAGCACTAAAAGGACAAGTGAGCGAAGTATTTCCTATGATACAGGGAAGAATGTACAGAAAATGGAAATGCACTGTCTTAGCTACCTTTGGGTGTTGGCAACATATTTTAAACATTAATTAAAATTACTGCAAAGAGGCATTTAATGTGTTTGGCTTACTTTTTATTTAATTTGTAAATAAAAACTACAACTGCATTGTACATCATAGTGACAAAATATATGGAATTCTGCAGTGCAATGATTTTCTCAAATTCAGTTGCAAGAAAATTAATAGTTAAAGTGTGATAACAATAACTTACTGTCAAAAGGATTTCTTTAATAAATATATGTGCAATTGGTTCATTTTATTTTAAAAATGCAAAAAGACATTGAAGTAGTATTGCACAGCTGTTTGGAATGTTACAAACAAACAAAAATCTAACTACATTTTCCAGCAAAGACAGAACTGCAGCGAAACCACCAACAAGATTCAATTCCTTCATGTTTGAATAAACTTCTCAAGATCAGACTTATAATTCAGATCAACTAAAACTTAAGAAATCTAATTAGAAAAGATATAAAATTCCTAATCAAAACTCCATTGAAAATTCTAGGTTTAATTTCCAACCTGATCGCATGTTAAATATACACAAACAACCAAACTACATAAAATACATAAATAAAATCAAATGCTAACATTCAACATAAAGATACATCTATTCAGATCTGAAATCACAGTAGAGTAAGCCCATGAATCTTATAAGGTTAATACAAGTAGGTCTATACTTGTCCTGCGGGATCTGAAAATTAAACCATGGGTGATGTTAGAAAGGGCATTATTCTCTCAGATAGGGGTGGTATTCCCAACACCAAATTCCCGCAAAAGCACCGCCATACCCTCGAACAGGGTGGTTCTCAAGTGTAAAATCTTACAAAAGCTTCATCGTGTAGGGGATTCTTTGCAGTATCATATTAAGTAGGCCTGCTACTCTAACAAAAGAGAAACTTAAAAATAACTGTTAGACAGAAAAAAATACTAATTCTACAACACCGCATTTTTGGAAAATGCAGCACAAGAGTATTTCACTTGCATATAAAAATGCAATGGCAGATGTCTCCTGGAAGCCATATGCCCGAAGACCTAATATATACTCAGTTTTTGAGCATTAGCTTTATGCAGGAATTGTATATATTCAATGCATTTCTCTAAGAATGCTTTTGGCTGTTAGTATGATCATTGACCACTGTGGAAAATAGATACAAAATAATTTATAATTAAATGTGACCTACAGTTTAAGGAATGTATATTGTATGCATGATTTATAAAGAAAAAAGTAAAAATTTTAAAGAAAAATTAAAATGCCCAATTCTTTTTTTTCCTTGACAATCATAAAGTAGACGACTCTATCGACATATCTCTCCACATGCTCATGCTAATCTATTTTCAGATAACATACTCTTTATCTGTACAAGCATACAATTCATCCTGTGCTAAAACGGACTCAGGTAAATTTCAATAGCTGCCTTTAAATCTCGAACTTCTTACTTTGATCCGTTTAGTTTGAATCAGAAAGCAAGCACTCACTTGGATAAAACACATTTTCATACATATCGTATCAGTATACCAAAATTGACACAACCCATTTTCAGCATAGCAAGTAGTAATCCCCCACTCAAAAAAAGAAAGAAAGAAAAAAAATAATGATAATAATCATAAACCCTTTAAGATTCAATAAGGTCCGAGAGTAAACACTATTCCGTCAAACATAAGTTATTCTTCCCGAAGCCTTTCTTGCTGAATTCACGTCTCTTCTTCTTGTCTTGCTTGCGTCGGTGGTGCTGGTTGTGACCGCGATGAGGGGGACGTGTGTGGGGAGCCGTGATCAGAAACCATCATCGTCACTTGAGTC